TCAGGGAATGGAGGGAAGAGATTCTTGAAAAGCTGGGCGGTAAGGACACCGAGCGGAGTCTTGAAGTGATTGAGAATGAGCTCTGGATAGTGGCCTGTGTCATTTGCGTGACGGGGCAGTTTCTTGCCGTCGACCCAGTTGGAGATGCTGAAGTGAAAGTGGGGGCCGTTGGGGAGGTTGACAATGTCGAGGCCGTCGGGTTTCTTTTCGTGCTGGGCTTGCATGAGAATGACGAGCGCGGTGTAACCTCTTGCAGCTGCGAAGCCGGCGATCTCGCGGACACTGTATTTGTGTGCGTGTGCATGCTTTGTACGGCGGATGTATGTGCTGTTGGGGAAGATGGAGGTGAGAACGTCGGCTTCCTTGTGCAGAGATGAGTTGATGCTGGTTGTAACGAGAATCTTTGGTTCCTCGTCGCTGGGATTGAATATAGAAGGGAACTTTTGCTTGAGGAATTCGGGCGATAGATCAAAGTTGGTAGTGGTGGAGGTTGCGGTGGGGCTGGGTGCGCGCTTGGAGGACTTGGAGGACTTGGAGGGCTTCGAGGAGGCGGCATCTGAGTCGAGGTCTGAATCGTCCGAGTCGAGGTCAGACTGAGAGTCGTCGAGCATGCTGTCTGCATCGTCTGAATTGGAGTCTTCTTCTTCGTTTTCGTCACTATCATCCATGGCCTCATCCCGCTTCTTCAGCTTGGCCAATGTGCCTTCCTCGTTGCCCTCTTCATCCTCATGCTCAACTTTTCTCCGTTTGGCTAACCGCTCCACGTCAATGGCCCAGCTCAGAGCATCCTCCTCGTCACCCACAGGCTCATCCCATACGCGCTTGCTGTCAATGGTGGCGGGTTTGTTGTTTGCTAGTCGCTCTTCGCGCAGCTCAGGATTCTTGTCTTCCTCGCGCTTGCGGCGCATTCGGGCATCTCGCTTCTCCGACTCGCGCGCCTTCTTGATGGACAGATGGGCGGCCTGGCGGCGAATCTTATTCTTGAGCTTGAAGCCGGACGCGACATTTTTGGGGGCCGTCATTGTGTAGGTGGTGGTGGTAGTAGTGAAGGTCGTCGGCGTCGATTGCAGTTGGCGAGCCTGACAACTTTTCAGTGGGGCGGCGGCCGAAGCGTCTTTTCCGCAATCTTGGCGCGTCACCCACCGAGCCCACGCATCATGATTTGCACGTGCGGGCAATTCGACCAAAGAGCCAATGCCCTATAAACGGTCTGTCCTCGCGGTAAGCCAATTCTCCTCGTGGAAGCAGGGGAGAGCCTGATAATATATGCGCCGGTTCCAGGCTTTGCTGCGCGTCCCCCGCTCTGCATGGCGACCGTCTCTCCAGACAATAACTAGACGGGTACCTTGTGCCCCACCTCCGACTCATCCCACCACGCACTTCTCGACCACTCCACCCCTCTTCCGGTACAAGATTCCACAGCGCAAGACGCCCGCCATGCCGAGTGATACCACTACCTACAAGGGCAAGCCCTTTGAGCGCGCTGCTTTTGAGCAGCTCATGAAGGTAGGCTTGCACTACTACTGCCCCCGACCCTATCTGCACACTGCCTACTCACATGTTGCCAATTACAGCACAAATACTTCTACGCGCCCTCATTCGACATCTACGGCGGCGTTGCTGGCCTGTACGACTATGGCCCGCCTGGATCTGCCCTCACCGACAACATTGTCGACATATGGCGCGAACACTTTGTGCTCGAGGAGGACATGCTCAAGGTCGAACCTACCATTCTCACCACACACGATGTCCTCAAGACCTCTGGTCACGTCGACAAGTTCGCCGACTGGATGTGCAAAGACCCCAAGACGGGTGAGATCTTCCGCGCCGACCACTTGGTCGAAGAGGTGCTTGAGGCCAGGCTAAAGGGCGATAAGGAGGCGCGTGGCCAAAAGGTTGAAGTCGAGGAGGAGGATCCCAAGAAGAAAAAGAAGAAGGTCAAGAACATTGCAGCCATCAAACTCGAGGACTCAATGGTCAAGGAGATCGAGGAGGTTCTGGCAAAGATTGACAACTACAACGGTGAGGAGCTGGGTCTTCTCATGAAGAAGTACGACATCCGAAACCCTGCCAACAACGGCGAGCTCCTGCCTCCCGTCGCCTTCAACCTCATGTTCCAGACTTCCATCGGTCCCTCGTCGAATCTGCCCGCTTATCTGCGACCAGAGACTGCCCAGGGACAGTTTGTAAACTTCCAGAAGCTGCTAGACCACAACATGCAGCAGATGCCTTTTGCGTCTGCCTCCATTGGCAAGTCTTTCCGTAACGAGATTTCGCCTCGCCAGGGTCTCCTGCGTGTACGCGAGTTCCTCATGGCCGAAATCGAGCATTTTGTCGACCCAGAGGGTGGCAAGAAGCACCCACGATTCAACGAGGTCAAGGATGTCGAACTTGAACTGCTCAACCGCGACGTCCAGCTTGCTGGCAAGACCACGGTCGAGACCACAAAGATTGGCAAGGCAGTTGAGACTGGCCTGGTCGACAACGAGACACTGGGTTACTTCCTGGCTCGCATCCAGCTCTTCCTCCTCAAGATTGGTGTCGATCCCAAGAAGATCCGCTTCAGGCAACACATGGCCAACGAGATGGCTCATTACGCAGCCGACTGCTGGGACGCCGAATTGCTCACATCGTACGGCTGGATCGAGTGTGTTGGCTGTGCTGACCGAAGCGCATACGACCTGTCTGTGCACATGAAGAAGACTGGTGCGCCTCTAATTGTCCGTGAGACAAGAAAGGAGCCGCTCAAGGTCGAGGAGTGGCAATGCGACATTGACAAGAAGAAGTTTGGTCCTAAGTTTAAGAAGGATGGAAAGGCTGTAGAAACCGCCATTGAGTCCCTGTCGCAGGATCTGCGCGAGAAGCTGTCCCTGGACTTGGAGAAGGAGGGCAAGATTGTCATTGATGTCCCCGAAGTTGCCGACGGCAAGGTCGAGGTGCCCAAGGAGCTCATCACAATCGAGAAGCGCACCAGGGTCGAGACGATGCGAGAATACACACCAAACGTCATTGAGCCGTCATTTGGTATTGGCCGTATCTTCTATGTAAGTGATCCCGTTGCGGAATGCAGGTATGCCTGGCTGACCGAATCAGGCACTGTGTGAACACGTCTACTGGACCCGTGAGCAGGACGAAGCCCGTGCTGTCCTCTCATTCCCTCCTGCGGTTGCACCGACAAAGGTGCTTATTGTGCCGCTCAGCTCAAACCCAGACTTTGATCCTTTTGTAAAGACACTGAAGGACAAACTTCGGAAGCTTGGTATCTCCAACCGAGTTGACGCGTCTGGTGCATCAATTGGCAAGCGCTATGCAGTAAGTCATGCCTCTCTAATGAACAAACGATTGAGCTCTGACAGTGGTCTAGCGAAACGATGAGCTTGGTACCCCGCTTGGTATCACAATTGACTTCCAGTCAATCAAGGACAACACTTTCACCCTTCGAGACCGTGACACAACTGAGCAGGTCCGCTCGAGCTTAGACGACATTGCCCAGGCCATTTCCAACATCGTAAAGGGTGAAGAGACATGGTCAGATGTTGCCAAGCGCCTGCCCAAGTTTGAGGGCCAGGAGGTAGACTGAAGGCTGTGTTGAACCAATACTAGCAGTGATTCGCTTTATAAGTGCGGATTGCCGTCTCGTCTGCATGCATTGAAAGCCGAAAGCTGAATCCAAGGGTAACTCTTTGTGTGAAGGTAAAAAAAAGCCAACAAATAGAGGCAATAGATCGTGTCGCATCCATGTAGATGATATGATGCCTTGGCTGGGACGAATACAGTGGACTGGTTGTGCTGTCAGGCTCTCGTTGTCCCACGTAATGTGATTGTGTGAGCAACCTGGTCCCTTTATTTTCTCCTCTAATCTAATCTGGAAGAAAACATGTCAAAAGAGTTCACCCACGTCCATACGTGTCATGCACCCCGGGGTTGCGGGCTTGTGTTGGCCCGGCTGGGGGATGGAGAGTGGACGATTACCACGTCCGATGCAGTCTTCCCAGGATAAAGCCCGCGCCGCCACGAGTCAGGCCGCGGGAACTTGAACTCTCAACGTGAGATATAGGGAGTGGGAAATACGACGTGGGATTGTGGCCGTAGAAGGGAGCTGCTGAAAGCGGAATGCCAGCAGGCTTCCCTGGATAGAATGCATATGCGGCGGGTCCGTTTGCGACGAGATACAGACATGTAGTAGTAGATACGTACGTAGGTATGATGAAGGGGTTCTCGTGCTCTTCCGGGGGTTTGGTCCGGTGCATGCAGGTGTTGCCCTAGCCTCGAGACCCCGGGGGATGGGTAGTAGGGCAGCTGAGAGAGGCCGAAGACGGACCGGTGCAAACTCCTTGCCAGCAGCAGCCTGGGGTTGATGCAGCGGTCCTGGACCTCTTGGGCACCATGCATTGAGGCACCATGCTTCCGTGTATGTGCAGCCGTGGGGCTATGTGCGCCTCAGGCCATGACATGATGGAGCTCACACTGCCATGTAACGTCGCAATGGCCGTCCTCGGGTGCTTGTGCTCTGTCCTCGGAACAAAAGGTGAGTGTGGTGTGGTGGACATGTCGGCTCGCTGGCTCGCTGACTGATTGTCGGCAGCGTAGTACTTAGATACTAGACAGCACATAGAGTTCAGAGGACGGGGATTTGTCATGGAGGTGGTCAGACGGCGATGATCAGCAGAGCATGTCGGCATGGAAAGAGAGGGCAATGGACGTGGACCTTGTTGCCAGTCGCGGGCATGGCATGGATCCACGCTTCAAGTCTAGTACCTTCTGCAAGGCCCATATGTATACCCAGGCTGGATGCGCGCGCCCCCAACCAACATCAAGCGACCATCGCTTAGCAGACGCAACGTCAAGCTCTTGCACCAGCCTCTTTGGAAAGGGATCCATTGGCGTCGCGTACGTAAAGACGTCGCGGGCGCCCTCGCTCAACCTCACCATCGTCCTCCGCTCGACTTGCTCAACGAGACCCGTTCGGCCCCTCTGAAGCCTGTCGGCTTTCCGGCGCCATGGACGAGGGACCGCCACCACCCGAAGGCGTGGTTGCCCCTCACGCAGGGCCTCCACTCAAACGCCCAAGAGCTGACTCGGACGATTCAGCCTCCATTGAGTCCATGTATGCCGCCGCTTCTCCTATGTTCCTCTCGTATCGCTGCATCCTTTGCTCTGCGCTGCCAACTGCCCGCATTCGACAGGGGCTCGAGCCCGCTGACGGCTAACCGGCTGCCCAACGGATCCTCCTCCATCATATCGCCACTCATCGCACATGAACCACAGCTGACAGTCGTTGCGATAGTCGCTCTGTTCGCACACTTGCCTCGGACGACCTCGACTATGTCCATGAAAATGGCCGCACATACGCCAATGAGTCGTACTATCTGCCCTGCGTCTACAAGCCCAACAACGACTTTGTGGAGCAGGATCGCTTATCCTTGCAACACGAGATCTTTGTCCGGGCACTCAAAGGAAAGTTGACAACCACAAAACTGCTACCTTCTACGCGCAGAATCCTCGATCTCGGCACGGGACCAGGCCACTGGGCCGTGTCCATGGCACAGCAATACCCCCGTGCAGAAGTCGTTGGAATAGACATTACCGAGTGGGACATTGAAACCACTGAAGCCACACTAGGCGAATCTGGAGTGACTTGGGAACTCGATGATCTCGACGTTTGGGGGCGAGAAATCCATGTCGACGATCTAATCGCCAAACTCGCAGAGCTGGACTTGGCAACCAACATGATCCACCGCGATCCAATCGAGTCTCCAAGAAAAATACACCAGGACACTGGACTAAGCGATGCCGCCACAAGTCCGTCAAATCTATCAGAAGAATCCCTCACAATTGACTTGACTTCCTTGAATCCTAAGTCGGAACCAGGTTGGCATTTCAGCGATACGTTTGAGCTGATCCACCTGCGAAATATGAAAGGAACCTTTACCCACTGGGAAGGCGTCTACGAAGAGATATATAAGAGTCTCTCGCCTGGCGGATGGGTAGAGTTGGCAGACTGGGACTTGGGCCAAGTACCCCTTGGCCCCGGCGACAAGGTTGTAATGCCCACCCTGCGCAAGTTATACGTCGCTTTTATGGAGGCGTCTTTCCGATCTGGACGGCCCCTGGGTCTTTTCTACATGCATCACAGTTATCTTGAAGAGGCGGGATTCGTGGACATACAAACAACCCATGTCAATGTGCCTGTGGGGCAGTGGGTAGACGACGAGGCGCAGAAATCCCTAGGCAAGATGATGTTTGTACTTGGCATGGAAATTTTCGAGCCTGTTTGCCTGCGTCTCCTGACGCGGTGGGGCAGTAAGAACAAAGTGTGGACTGAAGACGAACTGAGGGCGGATGTGCGGTTGGCACAGCAGGAGATTAAAGATTATGTCGAGCGTTCAGAGCGCGGCGAGGTAGAAGGCTGGTGTGCGAGTTTCAAGTGGATTACTGCAAGAAAGAGTTGGCATGCTGACAAGTGAAGGGTATTGTTGGTATCTTGGATAAATGGGAGGAATCTTTTTATTATGCATCATTGGACAACGGGCGGGCGGCATTAGTCGAGTTGATTTTCGTTGGCTTGCATGTGTGTCACTGAGCCGGAAGGTGGAGCCGTAGCATCGACATATAATGATGATGACCAGCCATATCATCTATCTTTTTTTTGCATCCATACCAGATCTATGTTCCATACCAATATGTCAACAGAACTTTCGGCGACTGCGCTCTTCAATGTCAAAGGCATTGTTGCGGTCATAACAGGAGGCGGGTCAGGTAGTCCGCGCTTGGTTAACATGGCTGGACTCGGCGCTGAGCTCTGCAGGTATCGGTCTGATGATAACAAAAGCGCTGGCTGCAAACGGCGCACACCGAATCTACATAGTCGGTCGTCGAAAAGACGTTTTGCGCGACGCCGCCAATAGTATCGACCCAAACGTCGTCATACCATTACCTGGAGACATAACCTCTCAAGACTCGCTGCTCGGAATCGCCGCAAAGATTGAATCCGAAATAGGCTATGTAAATCTCGTCATTGCAAACGCAGGCATCATGGGCCCAAGACCACTCAAAGCCGCACCAGGCAACCCATTACCCTCAATCAGCGAGTACCAAGCGCACGCCCTCCAGAGCCCTATGCAAGATTTCACACAAACCTACGCTGTAAACGTAACAGGTGTCTACTACACCGCCCTAGCCTTCCTCACCCTCCTCGACGCCGGCAACACAAAAGCCAACTTCTGTGCCGGCGTGCGCCCCCAAATCATCGCCATCTCCAGCATCGGCGGCTTCTCTCGTCTCGCAGGCGCCTCGTTCGCATACAACAGCAGCAAAGCCGCCGTCACGCACATGATGAAGATGCTCGCTACATCACTCGTTCCCTATCGCATCCGCTGCAACGTGCTGGCTCCCGGCATTTTTCCGTCGGACATGACGACAGGCATTATTGGGGGGTTGAATCCGCAGCACAGCGAGATGTTGGATAAGAGTGTTATTCCTGCCGAGAGGACGGGTTGCGAGCAGGATATTGCGGGGGCGGTGCTGTGGATGGCGGGGTTGGCGGGGTCGTATTTGAATGGGAGTGTGGTTGTGGTTGATGGGGGGAGATTGGGCATGTTGACGTCTACGTACTAAGAGACATTGTTTTTTCTTTTTCTATTTCTTCTATTTCTTCTAGTCTTGCATTGAAATTGTAGATCTAGAAAATAATAGTGAAATGAAATTTAAGAAGAGTGACTACGTTACTATTCACCCCCCCCCTTCCTTCCTGTCAGAATATGGGCATATTTTGTGCAGTGGAGTCTAGAATTAGTCAGCGTGCACGATCCACCGTGATCATACATAGGGGGTCAGCGTGGATCAACAACAACGAGAACAGGGAGAAGAACAAAAATCATTAAAAATTATTCATCACCCATATTTATCACAGTTTTACACCCGTCTTTAAAAACCCATCACAATCTGACACTTCCCCTCATCTCATCCTCGACAAGACGATCCCGTGCGCTAACTCTGTACTAGCGGAAGCGGCCCGTGCCATGCCTGCCCGTTTGCGGAGTTGAAGCCACACCTCCGAAAGCCCGCCACGACTACTCGAACTTGTTTTCTCCTACTCGATGCGCGCATGCTCGTTCGCCCACGCCAAACATGCCTGCACAACCGCACAGGCTCAATTCCAATGATCTGGTCAACTCGCCGGGTTTTCTCGGTGCAGCAGCCCGCTTCTGGCAGGTGTGTGTGTGTTTTTGTGTTGCGCTGTCTTTAGCACATGTTTTTTTTTAAAACAAAATAACTAATGGAGCCTGTTTTTCGGCTACAAGTAGCGCTCGTATGCTTCGGATTATGTAGGCATCGCTATTTTATTGTGCGGCTATATTCCGGTACGTTATGCAAGAAGGAGGAAGAAGAAGAAGACTCGAGACAGGCTTCAGAGAAATGTATTCATATTCGACATACAGATCCAATTCCTCGCCGAACCCTTTCATCGCATGTTCTTCCTCGATAACCTCGCCATTGGATATCCCCACGCAGAAATCGAGCGCGTATCAGTCGGTTGGCTACTCATCTTCTCCGCCGCCGTTCCCCTCGGCCTCCTCGTCGCCTGGGCCCTTCTTTTCCGCCCGGGCTCCCACAAAGCCCACGTCACCATCCTCGGTCTAATCATCAGCCTCATCCTCACCAGCTTCATCACCGACGTAATCAAGAACGCCGTCGGCCGCCCCCGCCCCGACCTCATCGCCCGCTGCAAACCCGCGCCTGGCACCCCCGCCCACCAACTCGTCACGTACAAAGTCTGCACCGAAACAGACCACCATACTCTTCACGACGGCTGGCGCAGTTTCCCAAGCGGCCATAGTAGCTTCGCCTTCAGCGGCCTCGGCTACCTCTCCCTCTTCCTCGCAGGCCAATGCCACGTCTACCGTCCCCGCGCAGACCTCGCTCGCGTCCTCCTCGCTCTTGCGCCCCTCCTCGGCGCAGCCCTCATCGCCATCTCCCGCTGCGAAGACTACAGACACGACGTTTACGACGTCACCGTTGGGTCTCTGCTTGGTCTCGCCATAGCGCATTATACCTACAGGAGATATTACCCTGCCCTCAGGAATCGGCTCTGTGCTACCCCGTTTCCGAACCCGGCGGATGAGAAGGGCTGGGGGAAGGTTAAGGGGGATGAGGAGAGTGCGAGGGGGGTTCAGGAGTTTGAGCTTAGTGAGTTTGATGAGGAGGGGGATGGAGATAGTGAGGCGCGGTTGCTTAATGGGGGGAGGAGATAGGTAATGGGGTTTATTTTGGGCGGTCTATGTTTTTCTAACGCTGGAGTAATGGGTGGGTTTGGTTCGGAGTGTCTCGTTTCTTTTTCTTTTTCTTAGCAACTTGGGTTGCTGGGGGATAGGGATTAGGGTGTGTAGACGGGTTTTTAATGTACCTGGCTGCTACGTGGCATGTTTACTGCATATGGATAATGATGATATTCTTTATGATATTTATAGTTTTTTGGTCTGTTGACCTCTTGGGGATTGTTCAACGTACTATAAAGTGTGTTTACTTTACTATTAGTCGTTTTCGACATGTGTCGTTTGTGTTATGGGCGGAGAGGCCTAGCGAACGAGTATGCTTCTACCTATCGTACAGAAGCTAAAAGATGAGGAAAAGAGAAGATAACTAAGTACAGACTTCTCTTATACCTGCTCGCTTCTGATCACATGTCTGTACA